TAAATCAAATTTACATTTACTAACCCATTTACACTTTTTGCCACCTAAATTCATCAATTTACGTAAATCCAATAAAAATGTAAATTTACTAATTTCGGTGACTTAGGGTGGAGAGATGCCCCAAAGCCACATGCAAGTGGGCCAAAATGGCCCGGGTCCGCCGTGGTAGAAGCCGGGCGTTTCCTTCGAAGAGGACATAGTCATATCTCTCCCCTTCAGCACCCATCTGCCTCATCTGCCTGCGAAGGATCTCCTCAGGGGTGACCACTCCCTCCTCGACCTCCACGGGATAGGCGCCCCATAGCTCCATGGGGTAGCTTCCTTGTCGCGGCTGCCCCCCGCCTTCTAAAGGATCTTGTTCACGTAGTGCCTCCGCCGCCAAGCTCTTCTGGGCCGCCTGCAGGATGTAGGTGGCAAACTCCCTGGTCCACCGCGCCGCCACCGTAGATCGGCTCACCGTTTCACCGTCCAGGTGGATCGTTCCTCGGATCGGTTCATGCTCGCGAGGCTGATGACTGCATCTGGGGATGCCTGCCAGACCCACTGCAAAGGACTGCTTGTTCACGTCCAGGTCAGTTGTCTTGCGGTACAGCTTGTGCGACACCGGGTCCTTCAGGCCAAAGACACACTGATCGACCACCACCCGATAGACCATAGCCCGCCGGATCATGTACTTGGTCTCTAAGGCCTCGGAGCCCTCGGGCTGCTCTGTAAGGCAGAGTCGACCCTCACCATCCTGGATGTCCCAGACCTCGCGGCCCAATTTCCAAAACGGGAGCTGCTTCCGCCTGACCTCGCCCAATGTGTCCCAATCCTGCCGAATTCGCTGCCAGGCACACCGCGGACCACATGGCGGGGTGATGACCACCAGGTCAGGCTTGAGAGTTCTCACCATGTTCTTCACCCGCTCCCGGTTCTCCCTCACGGCCATGTCATTCTCGGCGCCCAGGATGACGTCCACCGGCTGGTAAGCCCCCCAACCAGGCAGCTCGGCCGCCACCTGCGTCAGCATAGATGAACCCGAGAAGAGCTCCAGCACCATGAACTTCGTCTCCGTTCGCGCCCCCTTTTTCACACGCGCCATCAAATGGACCGCCTGCTGCAGCCCCTTCTTGAGCTTCTGGGTCAATCCTCTGGGAGGTCGTGTCTCCTTCCACACCACATCTCTCTCTCTCAGGGCCTTGAAGGCGGCTCGGTCTTCGGCATAGAGTGCCCCCCACTCCTCTTCCTCCTCAGAGTCCATCACCGAGTCCTTGGTCGTGATCGTGGCGTTGTCCTCGCGCGCCTCATAGTCATCCTCCATGATGGACTCGGTGGCCTCGCCGAAGTCATAGTCCTTGCCGCTCTCATCCCCTTCCCAGTCAGGTTCTTCTACATCAGGGGCCATGCCACCGGGGCATGCATCCTTTGCCTCAACGCCCCCAGATGACCCCACCAAAAGGCCACTTCCTTGCCGAGAAGCATCGCCAACCAACGGGGATTTCGCTTCCAGCGTGCGCCCTGCATGGTGCTCTCGACGGCCTTCTTCACCCTCAGCTGCCACAGGAGCTTCTTCCACAAGAACGTCATCATCTTGCTCCTGAAACACCACACCATGTTCATGGCGACCTCCTCGCTGTAGGCATTTGACAGAGTGGGATAGTCCGCTCTCTGACCTGTCAAGGCTTTGGTCTCCTCCCTCTTGGCTTTGGATTTGGCCGCACGGGCCCTGGCCTTGGCGATCTTGGCCATCTCCTGCGGCGTGAGCTGCTCGATCTGGATCTCCTCCATCTCGTCCTGGTCGATGCGATACTGCTCCGCCTTGGATGGTGGTGTGGTCATCTGGCCACTCCCCATAGCCCGGGCCTGTGCCTTCGGTTGCCTCTTGGGCGTGGTGCGCTCGACCGGCAGGAAGCTGCGCATGGATGCATTGCTCATCCGTCCCACAGGGTCCTCCCAACTCCGTTGGCTCTCCACATCCATCTCCAGTGCGCTCTGCAGGTGCTGGAGCTGTTCGCCTTCGGACTCTAGATTGGGGCAGTCTCGGCTCCGGTGAGATTGGTCTCCGCATACCCGGCAGAAGCCCGTCGTGGATCGCGACATGCGAGTGAAGACCCGGAGCGTTCACGGCCGTCCCTGAGCCAAAAATCTCGCCCACCAGGACATTGTTGATCATGGCCAAACTGCAGGCCTCTTGGCCTGCCTCAAGACGAAAGTCCTCGGGTACCTTCGAGTGGGGAATTCCCTCGAACTCCGCAATGTCCATGATGTAGTGTCCACTAGAGGTTTGCTTCAGTCCGTATCCCTTCACACCCAACTTCTTGGAGGCTAGTAGATGATGTTCACAGTCAAATTGTATACCGAGCTGGGTACATGCATGTCGGGATAGGAGGGGTGGACAGTCGCCCTTCACAACGGAGAACCCCAACACTACCAACTTCCCAGCGAAGGTCGCCTCGAACTGCACCCCATACTGACTAGCGAGCGTGTCCCCGCTTCCAAAACGAAAAACCTCCTTCTCCTTGAAGACCCTAAACCATCGATGTTGGTCCTGCCACCGCTTGATGATTTGGTTGATCCACACTGTCCCTGCGACCGACTTCAAACACCCGATGTCCAGAATGACGGAGGTTGCCAGTTCCTTCACGCACCACAACACTTCATGGTCGGCCGACCCACCACTCAGCCCTACCCCACACGGCAGCGTCATATATGCACACGCGGATGAGGATCTCGGTGAGGCCGCGTTGGGCGTGCACAAAGACACCAACAAATCCCACTCATGGTCTCCCTCCCTGTCTTCGGGTAGTGAGGCCAACTTGAGTGATGAAGTCGTGGGGCTCTTCTTGGCCCTCATAGGCTTTCGTCCCAAAGTGGGCGTAGCCATCAAAACCTGCTGGGCCTTGGGGTGTGGGCACTCTCTGCTCCAATGCCCTATCTCCCCGCAGTTATGGCATGCGGTGTTCTTGATCTTGTCGGCGAGGGCTTTCTTGCGTTCTTCAACTTGGTCTCCCTTTTTGTAGTATTGGCGGAGCTTCTTGACTTCCGCCATACGTTGTTTCGCCTTGTAGTGAAGGGCGTAAGCTTCCCGCTCCACCTCCCTGAGCTCGGATGGAGCGTCCTCATCAACACTCTCTTCACCGGTCTCGGTGTCCACCTGTGTGATCTCTTCCTCGCCGAACTCGCTCATGACCTCCGCCGCCAAGGCCTGCCGAGCGCCTCCTCGACGTGCAGCATGTAGTCCACCTGTGGCGCCCCTTTGCACCAACCACTCATCGCCATTTGCCCCAGCGGAGTTTGGCTCGGATGCTCCGATGGGATATCCGTGTTCTCCTTCTAATTCTGCAGCCAATTCCACCAGAGCGTTGGTGATGGAGTCCTCGGTCTCATCGCCAGCTCGGGCCCTGACCAGAACCTTGTCCCTTCGACTCAGTCGGGCGTGGTCCAACAAATGGCCAACGTAGAACCTCTCGCCCATCTCCAAGGTCGAGTCGAGGCCCAACAACTGCGTGCGATATATGCTGCCGCGAGTGATGTAGCTTTCTAAGGACTCCCCTGCGAACCTCGTCAAGGCCATCAACTTCTTCCTCTGTTGGTCAATGCGGTGCTTGTCCAACTGCTTAACCAAGGGACTGCGTTCAAGGACGTCGAAGATCTTCTGCATGCCACCAGGGCGGTTCACGTCCTCATTGTTCAGGTGCTTCACCAATTGGGCTGCTCGGTCCCTCAACTGCACCATAATTCGCGGGCCTATGTATTCCTCAGGAATTTGATGACCCTCTCCTCCCAGCCAGAACTCCAAGGCTCGTCGCCAGTCTCTATAGCTCTCACCCGCCTTGGCCCTGAAGATCGGCGGGTAGGAGCTGCTGACTTTTCCTTTGGCCGGGTTGGCCTTCCCTTCATCTCCTGGCCCCTTCGGCGGAGGAGTGTCCCCCACCGATGAGACCTCGCCGGAAGGCAGGTTGCCTTGGCGATCGAAGCCCGCCGCCGCCGGAGAGCCCGGGGACGCGGCCGACGTCCACTGCCAGTGCCCATGCTCTTGTCCCTGATCGTCACGTGTACTCGGTCCTCCCGAACGATGCCCTTGTCCCTGATCATGGCGTGAACCACCACTCCATGCCCAGTTCTCTCGTCCCGAGTCCATACTGTTGACCTCCGAGCTTGGGGCACCCCATGAACGCTGCTCATCCCATGACCAGTTCTCAGCCCGTCCTCGGTCTCGCCATCCCTGCCTCCATGATGCCCAGGACGTCGATGTCCATGAGGAGTCATCACCAGGTTGATACCAACCATCGCTGCCACCCAACCCACTCACATCCAGTGGATTCCCCCATTCCGAATCACCTTCAGATGCATTGGGCTCAACTTGGACCTCAAAAACCTCGTAGTACGAGGTCATCCAAAACCCCCAGCCGTAGGGCTCGAGCACCACCACCCCGAACCACCGTAGCCAGCTCCCCCGCGCCGCCGCCCACAGCGCCTATGGCCCCGGATCGAAACCTGCTCCGCTGCCACTTAAACGTGGCAGCGACCGAACCTTTTCTACCGCTCGAGCCCTGCAGCTCCGATCGAGGGACCGTCGGCGGGGCCGGTTCCGTTTCACAGTTATGTAGTGTTCTCAGAGTGTTCTCGCTACTATATTATCATATAACTATTATCCCGGCTCCCTCTTCCTTAGCCACAGCATCGCCAAAAAGACACAACAAGAGTTACTGTAACACACGTTAACACACTGATGCCATGCTCATGCCGACTCATGCCTAACTGCGTTCTCGTCACCAAACCGGCCAAAGGTCGGCTTTCGGCGGCAGCCCAGGAACAGCCGGTGCCCAATTAAATAGGTTGGTTCTGGAACAGAAAACACCATTTCGTCAACCGCTGGACTTCGGAGGAAGTCAATATCCATGGATGTCTGCTGAGGAAATACCTGGGAGGTCAGCCTACCCTGGTTTGGGGCTCCGGGTTTGTCTGGCCCGTGGCTCCAGGAATTTCCCAGCGTCCATTCGGCGGAGCGCCGGTGCCTGGCGCTGCGGCGCCAGTTCGGGAGAGCGCCTGAGCACGGTGCATGGGGCATGGGGCACAGGAAGGCCTTTCATCGAAGAGCAACCCAGGCAATCCACCGGTTTCTTTCATGGAAAAACACCCCCTTCAAGGACAAAAGCAAAGTCTTGCATCTCAGATACCTCAGGAGTGCAGCTTCTTGTTTTGTTGAGAAAAGTGTAGATTCAATCATTGGTTAGGGCCGGGAAACCTTCAATGTACAACCCACCTGCCTGCAGGATGAACCTACATCTGAAAACCAAGAAGGTTGAGGTATCAGCAGACTACAAGCTTCGGACTCGCGTCTCAGAAAACAAATTCAAAAGCAGCCAAGCTGGACAGCAGAAAGGCTGAGTCTCGAATGAGACAGATCTACATACCCCAACCTTAAGCCAGTGATGGCTTTCAACCGGCTCAAGGATTTCAGCAGTGAAGAAAACATCATGTGACATGTGACCAGGTTGTTTAATGTTGTAAAAACAACAATGAGCCAGAATGTGATTCAACGAGGGCAAATCACCTTGTTGAACATGAAGACTGGACCTCCAAATTATTCCGGCTTCCTCCATGTGGGCGACCCTGTTTGCAGAGATATTCAGAGACCCCTGGCTGCCTTGCTCCAAATCACCCTGCAGCTTCCCATCAAGACTAGGTGCCTGCGGCCTGGCGTTCTTGGTGATGTTTTTTAATGTCAAGAATCCACACCACCATGAGCCACCTCCAGGAGCCACCTCCAGTTTTGTCGTCCACCTCCAGGAGCCTTCATTCTGCTTCTACCCACGATCTACCCTCTGTGATCCACACCACCCCATGAGGAACAGCCAATTGAAGCGAAAGCGAGGGATCTCTGTGGTCCTGCCCATTTAACCGCTTGAAAATGCCCATTTCTCAAACAATGATGTGCTTCTGCCACCATTCCGTTATATCCTGAGACCATCCCTCTTCACCGGTGTACTGTAGACGCATGATGCATTTAAACCAAATAAGACATCATATGACTTCGTTCTCTTCATATGCTTTCATATTGGGTGGTGAAAAGAAGTACATCAGACACCACTGCTCCCTTTTCCTTTCCAAATCCCTGTGTTTTGCGGCCGAGCCACGACACGGCACGGTGCAGGGGCCGAGGTGAAGCCTCGCCCGAGCGCTGCCGCGCTACGGTGGGAGGAGAAAACAAACGAAAAGAACGACCTGGGAGAATCAAACCACATGGAAACAAAAGAACCCATCATCACACCACAGTAACTATATACGATGCACATATTATATATATATATATATTAATATACTACTAACTGTAAATCATTGACGTCAATTCATGGACTTCACCAACCTGAATAATGGCAAGGTTTGCTTTGACTTTGCTGCCAATTGAGCAAGCTGAAGTTCCGCATCGCGCAGCATCGCCGAAACTGAGTGAAACACGAGGCGATCATAAGAGATCAGTCCACCAGTGACAAAACGTGAAGGGAACTGGTAACTGCTTGAACGTTAGTTACCAATCATGCTTGCTTTCGCTAGTCCTTCCCAAGCGGAAACTCCATGATCTCTTCCGAATCGAGCGGATCGTTTTGTGGAAACATTACAAGCTTCCGTGACGCCTAAAAAGTTGGGGCTGGCAGTCTTTCCAAAATCACAAACTCAGACGGGTCGGAACGTATTTGAGGCTCAAGACCAAACCACGCCCAGCAAAACAGCCCTACCAAATAGAGCGCTACATCATCTACAGTACATCCCAAGAAGGCCTCAAACAGGGGAAGGCTTCTTCTAGCTTCTTTGTTGGAACCTCAAAAAGGGGGTGTGCGTCGCCATGTCGTAAGGTTGGTTCGGGAATGGGCGATCACCATGACTCCCGAATTGAGGCACCGGCTATCGGTGATTTGGACCTCAAACTTGGCGAGTTGCGAACTGGTTCACAAGGCATCAAATGTGTGATTTGGACCTGCAAATGTTGCGTTGCAGACCAAATCGCCGACCGAGGTGTTGGTGTTTTTCAGTGCCGACCACACCCAGCTGCTCTCCTGACTATCTGAAGGCATTGCTCAAGGCTAGTCTCCAGGATGACTTTCCAACTTCACGTTCATTGCGTCTCAATCAACCTTGATGCTTCCAAACAAAGGAGTCCAGTCCGTCCACAGCTTTCATGGAATTGCACGGCGAGGGCCAAAATCTAGGAATGAAACCACCAGATCGAAGCAGTTTCGTGCACAACCTTCAACCTTCAGTTGATTTTTTAAAAAATAAAAACGAGCAAAAATGCCATCACTACTGGCCGGAGCCCCCTGAAGCAATTGGTTGTTGCTCAAGACCAGGCCGATCAGTTTTGGATTTGCCAATCATGCGAGACAACTCTTCCCACAAGGTTCCGCCGAAGTCACTGTATATATATATATAATATAGTTCAATCTGACATAGATTCCGAGGAAAACGAAGTGTTCGACTCTTAGATCACATTGGATCCCTTTGAACTTTAAATACCACCGGAAGTTCAACCAAAAAGTGTTTTAAACCATCCCAAATCGTTCCAAGTTCCATGGGGCAAATCCAGCCACGTTGTCTCCTTCACCTGATCCGCTTCGGTCTGCCCTGCCCTGCACCCTCGGGTCCCGCGCAGCGTGAGCCCAGTGAGCTCCGTGGGTCCCGGAGAGGTTGCCTGCACAGCTTTTGGAGGGACGGGCTACGACGGGATGACAGACATGGGGCTAAGGAGAGAAGCCAATCAACAACTACCAGGGCTTCCTAAGGGGTATCTTAATCATAGCCCCTTGAGGGATATCCATGGATGTCCATGAATCACCCCTAAAAGGGCGCTGGTAAGTGCTCAATCTTCCGCCGGTCGGAAAGACATGGGAGAATTCGATCACTCTTGCTGGCCGGTGGACGGAAGTTCCGGCCCCGAAAGGATGACCAGGTGGGGCCGGCCCCACTTCCATGGAACGTGACGAACGAGCGATTCAGCCATTCTGAGCCACATCCCATGAAGGGAAGAGTCAAATGAAGCAAGAGCATTGCTCTGCTGGAAGCTGACTTGGCGATCACAGATGACAAATGTCTGGGCAGTCTCTTTTTGAGACATGGACGACCTTGCAGGTACAAAAAACAACAAATAATAAAAAGCAAAGGCAAAACAAGTAATACTTGTAAAGTTAGTTTGGTTTCTCAAAGATGATCTAGCTTCTCCAGAACCCCCAGTCTTGGTTTGCCGTGAGAGTGGACATCGTCCAGCCATTCGTGTAAGTCTAGAGATGAACCAACATCACAAAGAAAACCTGGTGAAAACTGGTTGCTTCAGACTCATAGACAAGGATGGGCTACTGGATGGGCTGCAAATAAAGAGTGGCAAGGAACAGACTGGTGGACAGCCCAGCAGCAGGAGGGGAAGATGAACTACAGGGTCTCCCAATTCGCCACAGGCGTTGGGGATTGGCTCTGCAATCGAATGGACGCACGCCTGCACGGGTGGGGCACTCCAATTCAGTTCTGAAAATCACAACGTGGTTCCTGTTGTTTTTATCCACTATCATCTACGATCTTGGTGTTCTGCTAGTACAGTAGGTAGTGTCGTGCTCCCATCCACGTTTGCATCTTTGGCACACGTTGGGCACAACGGCGGTGGCGCGGTGGCTGTGGGGGGGCACGCCCCACTACCGCTTCGGTTCAAACAGATCAACCACTGGACTGAGTAAGGAACTCAGCAAGACAATTGTGAACACAGGTTGGGGTGTTCATGCATAGTGATGTGATGAGATATGATATAGTATGTTATGTAGTTACATGTTAATAATGCTTATATAATATATGTTACATCATTATCCAAACGCGTATTCTTCTGTACCCTTGCGAGGGCATCTCTTTTTCACATACACAAGGGCTGAACCTCATCGACTGACTGATCAACCACCAAGCCACCCCACGCTCCGAGCGCGGCGTCCAGACGGTCCGGAGACGCGCGGAGTGCGCGAGGACCTGGAAGCGCTCAGAAATGGGGGGTGCCCCTTCAATTTCTGCACCCTGGTCAATGGACATCATGACTCAAAACTTTAACCTACAAATTCGAAGGGGGTGAGCGCGCAAACCTGGTAGTATCACTCTTTTGATATTCAAGAGAGCACCGCGGAGCCCATGTAGGCAGTGTCACAAAAGAGCTCAGTTTGCGGATTCAAACAAAATAGGGTGTGGGTGTGGGTGCAAAAATCCATTCATCATCCTTCATCTAGTTGCTAGCGCATGGTGCACATGTGACTTAGCACCTCTGATTTTTTGGGAATTGGTCGAGGGCGTCAAATTGGTATGCCATGAAGCCCGAACTCACTGGGTGTTCATGGTTTGTCCTCTAAACTGTTCGAGGAGAGGAGTCTTTCTGGAGGAGTCAAAAATATGTGGCACCAACTCGAACAAGTCGTAGAGGGACAATCCGCGACATTCTCTGGTCCTGCCGGAGCAATGTGACGTGCCCGGAGCAATGTGAAGGCGGTCCGAACCAGTTTTTCTGTGAAAAACAGCACCCAAAAGCAACAGTCTGGGTGAAGTACAAGAGTTTGCAAGTCGTTGTTTTTGGATGCTTTTGCATATGTATTTACCAACAGTGAGATGTTCGGGAATGCCTCACAATTGCACCTTTCCTAGCTCCGACACCTCTTGCAAAATGGGATGAGAGGGGCATACAAACCACATCAAACCACTGCTGCTGTCCTGAACATGTGTACAACAAGAGTGCTGATCCATGCGAAAAGGCAAAGAATGCGACTCCCTGCTGCCAGAGCCAGATCCAGATCCTATTGGTCCTGTGCTATATCAAAAACGAGATCTTAAATACTGATGCACCTTGAAAACCTGTGTGCCCGCCTCAAAGCCGCATGCGGCGTCTCTGCTTCCTGAAAGAAAGGCGGAGGAGGTTGGAACCGCTGTGAATAGCATCATCGTCGTGGGAGCTTTAACATGGTTAGGGGGGTGGTGGTTGGTTCATTAGTGCGTTGGTTCATTGATTCGTTGCTTGGTCGGTCGTTGATGGGTGAGTCCTCGAGTCCGTGGATCACCTGCGCGCACGATGAGCAGGCCCCCACGCATAGAGAGCACACAGCCGTTGTCTGGTGTGTTTTCCTGGCAATTCTCCTTGCAAATGGCTCAAGAGCTTGTAAGTGTATGCTAAAGATCACTTGACATGATCTGCCCTTTTGATGGGGGCACCACTATAGTGTTTTGGATTTTTGGGATGTCTTAGGTTGGATTGTCGTTTTAGAATGTTTTTTGGTGGGAATCTGATACGGTTTGTGGAAACACAGCCTGATCACGCGTCATGGTCCATCACATCACCGAGCAATGCGAGCAATTCTCAGCCGCTCCTGTGGGGGGTCCTTTTCCTGGAGACTTCTTTTTTGACCCGAATGGACGATCTTGATCAACCACAGGTGCCCAGACATGGATTGTAAAACCATGAAATCTCTGGCATCTGGGGCAAAATTGATGAATGTTGATTAATCGATGGAGTCATTGGAGACGTCAATCGTCGATGAAACTCGACCCGGCCCAGCGACTGGAGCGACTGGGGCGACTGGAATTCGAGTCGGACGAGTTTTTTTTTGCGAGTCTGCGGTGTAGATGTTCAACCACCCGTCATGGCCCGTCCCAAAGAAATGCGGCTTAGGATTAGATGAATGGCCAGTGTCATGGTGCAAGTAACAGTGCCTCATGCCATAGGATGCTTCAGGAGTGCCAGACAAAATCTGGTGTCTGGCCTAAGGACATCGCCTAGAGTGCTAGAGTGGGCCGGACAACATTGGTCATGCAGTCATGCAGGTTTTATGCAGGTTTCAGTGATGACTTTAGTCCTACCAGATTTGGCTGGATGGTCACATGAAAAGTAGATGAAAGGCCTCTCTTTGAAGCGCAAAAAGAACACCTAAGAAGCTTCGTTCGTTGAACATACGCCCTAGCACTCCATCAAACTGGTCCTGTTGATAGGGGATATATGGGGATATGATAGTACCCTAACCCTAAGACCTACTTTTGGTGGCTTTGGTTGAGAGGTTCAGCAGCCAATCTGCCCCCCCTTGGCGCCAGGATACATTCCCCTCCACACGAGAGCTGGCAGTCTCCTCACCAGGATGCGGGCTTGTGACCGTGAGCATTCTGCCTTATGATCTATGTCTTGGCCATGTTCAATTTAGCTGCACTTGATACCTTCAGAATCCGCAAACGTCCTCTTCTGCTTCAATCTGGGGGACTGTGTCTGTGACGTGCCAGGTATTTGTGGGGCATAGCTTCTCGCAAGTCCTGCACCAGCTAAGCTGGAGACCTAGGACTTTGCGGATTAAAATCCTACGTTGCCCAGGTGACGTTTATATAGCTTTTGAGTGGTGTGCGAGATTCTTTTGGACGTGGTTTCTAATAAAATCCATGACCACCAGCCTCCCAAAAAGGTCGGGACACCATCTTCAGGTTGTAGGCCATCCGAAAGGAGTGAGGTACCAAAAAATACTGGACGCATCAAGAAAAATACTCCTGATGTGTCAAAAACCAGTAGGTCAAAAACACATGGTTCGAGTAGTGGTAGTAGTAGTAGCAGTAGTAGCAGCAGCAGCAGGAGTAGTAGTAATAGGAGTGGTAGGAGTAGTATTAGGAGTAGTAGTAGGAGTAGTAGTAGTGGTAGGTAGGTAGGTAGGTCGGTAGGTCGGTAGGTCGGTAGGTCGGTGGGTCGGTGGGTCGGTGGGTCGGTGGGTCGGTAGGTAGGTGGGTAGGTGGGTAGGTGGGTAGGTGGGTAGGTGGGTAGGT